TTTTTCGTTTCGGGAATTTTGAAACAGTTTTTGAATTTCAACATTTGAGGGCATGGTATGTTGGCGAAAACAGATTTGATACTTGGAATAATTCAGAGCTTGTTCCGATATTGGGATTTCGAGTGTATCAGTGTCTAATTGACTATGTACTGTATCTACTTCTGAGTCTGAAACGTTATCGGCGAGAGGAGTTTCGTCGAAACTATGTATTACGTTAGCAATGCGGTCAAAGGAAAAATTGTTGGTAGGAGCTGTTGAGGACTGTTTCTGAGAAGGTTCCAGGGTGGAGATAGAAATGGAGTCGGAAAGGTTTTCCTCCATGTCTACGTTAACAAAAAGTGAGGCCATGTCATCGTCAGTCAGGTCACTATTTCGAGCGATATCTTCTTGTTCATCAAGATCAATTACTTGCAGAGAGTCGAGATCTCCGGGGAGGTCACGAATAGCGTAATGAAATTGTATCCTTGATAAGGCGTCTGCATTTAAGTTTTTCTTTCCATGTTTGTATTCGACTGAATAAACGTATTCCTCTAACTGAATTCTGCAGCGGGTCAGCTTGCTCTCTGGATTTTTTAGTGAAAATAGCCAAGCTCACGGTCTATGGTCAGTGAAAATTTTAAATTTTCTAACATATAAATAGGGGCGAAAAGTTTTTACCGCCCAGACGATTGCCAATAATTCTTTCTCGATCGTAGAATACAGGGTTTCCGAGTCATTTAGGGTTCTAGATGCATAGCATACGGGAAGGTCAGAGCCTGCAGGGCCCTGTGACAAAATGGCGCCCAAAGCAAAATTTGAGGCGTCAGTCGTAAGGAAAAATTCTTTAGTAAAATCCGAATTTTGAAGAATTGGATCATTACATAACAATTCTTTGCACTGATTAAAACGTTCAATGAATTTTGGGTTGTTGTGAGGAATTGTGGCATTTTTTTTTCAAGCACACTGTTAAAAATTTTGTAAGACGGGAGAAATCAGGAATAAATTTTCTGTAGTAACCAAGAAGGCGTAAAAAGGATTTTATTTCTGTTGGGATCTTAGGCACTGGAAAGTCTGTAATGGCAGAGATCTTTGTTGGACAAGGTTTCACACCTTCGTCAGTTATTAAGTGGCCAAAATACTCCGTTTCGTGTCTAAAAAATTCTGATGAATACAGCTGGATTTTCAGGTTAAACTGTCTTAATCGTTCGAGGACTAGGCGACAATGTCTTATGTGTTCTTGAAGAGAAGAAGAGAAAATCAGAATGGCGTCAAGGTAAACTAAGCATATTTTACCTTGTAAGCCTGCTAAAACAGAGTCCATTAAACGTTGGTAAGTTGCAGGGGTATTCATAAGTCCAAAAGGCATCCTAAGGTACTCGAAATGGCCATTTTCCGTGCTGAATGCTGTTTTAGGATCGCTATCTGGGTCAATTGCTATTTGGTGGAAGCCATTTGCAAGGTCAAGGGTCGTGAAGTAAGTACATTTCCCAAGTTTGTCCAACAGGTCGGAGATGTTAGGTATCGGGGATTCGTCAGGGATGGTCTTTCCGTTAATTTTCCTGTAGAGTCGATTACCATCCGCCATTTTTTCTTTCCACTAGCGTCAGTTTCTCTGGGAACCACCCAGACGGGAGAGGACCATGGAGAGTGGCTAGGTCGAATAATGCCTGATTCTAACATTTTCTTTATTTGGGTTTTAATCTCTTCTTTGTGCACATGCGGGTGTCGATACGACTTGGGTGTAAACTGGGTTCTCGTCTTTGGTGCGAATGGTGTGTTTCACTCCGTGAGCAAAACTTAATTTCTGACCTTCAACGAAGAATGTATCAGAAAACTTGTTCGCCAGATTTTCAAGAGCAGATTTTTCTTCCGAGTTAAGGTGATCACTTCGCAACATGGAAATCAAATGAGGGTTCAGAGTCAAGGTAATGAAAATTTTGATTGGGTCTCTTCTTTCGTTTCTTCCGAACATGTGCTTCCTTATTGGCACTAATATTAAATAAATCAGCATTGAAATGATAAACAAAATGTTGCTGAGGGAAATGGACATCATTAGGACTACTATTTCTCACGAGTACCGTTGCCAAATCGTTAACGATAGTTGCAAGGCATGACGGAATGACACAGTTTTCGGTTATTTTATATTTTGGGATTAATATGTTCTTGGGACTGTTCAGTTCTAATTTTAATTGAATTTTTGTTTCTGAGTTTGCTTTTGCAGTATGGTGTGATAAATTGGGTCCAGTTTTGTGGTAGAAGAATTTGATGGAGGCGTTGGGCGATCTTAAGGTTTGATCACTGTAGCAAATGTCAAGTTTGAAAAGTTTGAGGGCGTCCGAACCAAGGAGGCCATGAAAGTAATTGTGAAAGAACGACGCCAAGAATGGCAGAATTTGGGCCAGAGGGGATTTTTCTGAAACCGGGCCCAAACGATACCTTATGATACCCTAAAACTCTGGTTAAAATTTTAGCTTGAGTATACGCACGGTTTTTGAGAAATGAGGGGGCAAAGTTGCCAAATCGCCATCATTCTGGACAGCATTTTTACAGCAAAAAGACGGGAAAAATGGACGAAAAAGTTACACCTTTGATGGGTTTCGGCTGTAAATGTTCTTATTGGGCTCTCAAGCATTTAACTGTGTTCAGTTTCAAAAATATTTTGATCGCACAGTGGTCCAAAGTGGGGAGAAATCGTCGACAAATCAGGATTCTTTGTCAAATTTTTAAAAATGGAAATAAAATTGTCGGTCTGCTGCAGTTTTCATGGCTAACAATGTTCTTATCGGTCCTCAATGCATGAAATTTTTTTCAGCTTCACAAATTTACATCGCACATTGGTCAAAAATGAGGGAATTAGTGGACAAATTAAGATCCTCTGTGAAACTTTTTAAAAATGAAGTGAAACTGTTGGTCCCCAGTAGAGTTTAGATCCCGGAAAAATTATTTAAATTATTTTTTGGACTGTTTAAATCATTTTTTAATTTTTTTTTTCTCCATTTTTCCTTCTTTTTTTTTTAAATTTCTGAAAGTTTGCATATTTTATTGAGATAATGCTACAAAGTCTATTCTATAACAACGTTCTATAGACAATACGGTCCGACTTGCAGTAATAATTAAGAAAATTAAATGTAGGAATTTTTCCGGGATCTAAACTCTACTGGGGACAAACAGTTTCACTTCATTTTTAAAAAGTTTCACAGAGGATCTTAATTTGTCCACTAATTCCCTCATTTTTGACCAATGTGCGATGTAAATTTGTGAAGCTGAAAACAATTTCATGCATTGAGGACCGATAAGAACATTGTTAGCCATGAAAACTGCAGCAGACCGACAATTTTATTTCCATTTTTAAAAATTTGACAAAGAATCCTGATTTGTCGACGATTTCTCCCCACTTTGGACCACTGTGCGATCAAAATTTTTGAAACTGAACACAGTTAAATGCTTGAGAGCCTGTTGAGCTCAGAAAAAAGGTCAACAATATTATAGATAAATCAACACATTTTTATTAATAATACCTTTTTAAGGATAAAATATGACTGGAAGAATCATACAAGCAGGACTTCTTTTTTTTTCACATATACTAGGTTAAGATGAAGAGAAAAAGTGGTCGCCACGGAGACCATTTTGCATAGCATCTGTTTCAACACACTCCCCCCTTTGAGGTATCCTCAAAAGTAGGAACGACACATAGTTCCGTTATTCCTCTAATCATGTCTCCTTGGTTTGTGCGAAGCGTTACCACTCGTGGTATCCCATCTTTTCCTGGATGCACTTTATGGACTCTGGCAAACGGCCAACACAGCGGGGGCAAGTTCTTGACCTTGACTAGCACAAGGGATCCAGGCATTATACGTTTCTCTTTCTTGTACCATTTTGGAAAAACTTGCAATTTTTGCAAGTATTCTGTTGACCATCGGTTCCAAAATGATTGTAATGTTCTTCCGAGCTGAGAATACTTCTTGACTAAATCCGTGTCTGACAGTGACGCAGAGTTAGCATTACTAAGAAAGCTGGTCAATGGTCTACCAATTATGAAGTGCCCAGGAGTCAGGACTGATAGATCATTTGGATTTGATGACAGTGGAGTTAGTGGCCTTGAGTTTAATATGGCCTCAATTTGAGTTACAATAGTTTGAGCATCATCATACGTTAGCAAGCGATTGGAAACAATTCTTCTGAAATGGTACTTAAAGCTCTTGATTGCTGCTTCATGGAGACCACCATGGTGAGGAGAGTATGGTGGCGAAAACCTCCATTTTATGCGCTCTACAGCTAGATAGTTCAATACCCTTGAATCTTTGAAAAATTGATCAAAACAACTTTGCACGTGAGAATCAGCTGCAACGAAGGTTTTAGCATTGTCGGAGAACAAGAGACTGGGTATTCCTCTTCTGGAGATAAACCTTTTGAACGTATCTATAAAACCTGCAGCGGATAGGTCAGGACAAAGTTCTAAGTGCACTGCTTTTGTAACAAAACAGACGAACAGTGTCAGATATGCCTTTTTGTTTGACGTTTTAGCAGTACGTGACGATCTTAACTTAATTGGCCCAGCAAAATCGATACCTACTGATGTAAACGCTGGCGCAGGAACCACCCTTTCTAAAGGCAATTGACCCATCATTTGGGAGGACAGCTTGGGTTTAGCCCTTATACAGGTCATGCATCTTGCGGCAATTTTTTCTGCCATTCGCTTCCCTTGTAACGGCCAGAAACTCTGTCTAACACTTGCTAATAACGCTTGAGGCGCAGCGTGGCCTAATCGTTCGTGTTTTTCACGAATTACAAGTTCCGTTAATTTATGACGTGCTGGCAATAGAACAGGATGTTTTTCTCCTAGTGGCAGATTAGAGTTCTTCAATCTTCCTCCAACTCTCAGGAGTCCTTTAGAGTCCATAAACGGATTTAAAGTTTTTATGCTGCTTGAGCCCCTCAGTTCACCTTGTGGGCTCATTAAATCATGGATATCTTGATTGAAAACTTGATGCTGGATTGATTTTGTACATACATCTTGAGCGTTAGGTATCCAATTCCTCTGGTAATAATATCTGAGATGTATTTTTTGTATTTTTTCGACCAACATTATTGACAAATCTTAAAACATATGCCACTATTCGCAACAGCTTTGACAGTGAAGAGACTCTATCCAGCAAGACATTTAAACTTGAGAAAAATGACTGAATTCCAAGAAAGACTCGTACAACTTTCTCTTCGCTTTGACCATTTGATGGAGGATTTATGGACTGCGGAGGCCAAAACCTTGAATCACTCGTAAGCCAGTGTGGGCCTGATTTCCATAGATTAGACTTTTTAAGCATCGCTGAAGAAACACCTCTTGATATTAGATCAGCTGGATTTTCTTTGGTTGGAACATATTTCCAGGATGCATGTACTTCAGATGTAAAGGCTTCGATTTCTGAGACACGATTGGCCACGAACGTCTGCCAGGTGTCTGGCGGTTTTTGCAACCAATACAGAACATCCATAGAATCTGACCATAAGAAAATTTCATGCGGATGATTGTTTACAGCCGACAACATTCTTTTCATTAATCTTGCCAATAAAAGTGCTGCTAATAGCTCTAATCGAGGTATCGTCAGCAACTTCAAAGGGGCAACTCGTGATTTTGAACAGAGTAATATAGATGTTGGCGAATCAGCGTTGTAACTTACAACATAAATGCATGCTCCATATGCTCCTTTGGACGCATCACCAAATCCATGAAATACTAATTTTTTCGTTCTCCTGGAGATTTGCACATGTCTTGGAACTGAAAATTCTGTTAACATCGCTAGATCGTCTGCTAGTTCCATCAATTTCTTTTTAATACCATCAGGTACAGGTTCATCCCAAGTTAGTGTTACTTTCCATAAATCTTGAATCAGCATTTTCGCTCTTACCAGTATTGGGCCGACTATTCCTAGTGGATCGAATAATTCGGAGATTTCAGATAATAATATTAGCTTAGTGACCACACTAGTTGCTTTGTGTCTTGCTGAGAAACAGAAAATGTCTGTTGCCGGATGCCACTCTATTCCAAGCACTTTAATATCTCTGTTGTCGTTGAAATATAAAGGCTCGGTTTGCTGAGCTCCTGTCTTCAGAATTGTGGAGTCATTAGACGCCCATTTTCTTAAAAGGAAATTATTTGAGGATGTGACTGCTTCAACTATTTTCTTAACTTGTCTTGCTTCTTCTACCGTATCTGCTCCCCCCAAAAAATCGTCAACATAAAACGATTTTTTGACATGATAAGCTCCTATGGGCAAGTTCTCTTCTTGAATATTTGCTGATTCTTGCAATGCCCTGATAGCGAGGAAAGGAGCAGGACCTGTACCGTAGGTTACAGTGTTCAACTCAAAAACCTTAACTGAATCGTTAGGATTTTCTCTCCATAATATTCTTTGCAAGCTTCTATCTTCAGGTGCGATTAATATCATTCTATACATTTTCGTTATGTCTGCTGTTATTACAAACGGATATTCTCTGAATCTTAAAATAATATCAAAAAGCGTGTCTTGAATTGTAGGTCCAACGTGTAATATATCATTCAAACTTTTTCCTGAACTGCTCTTTGCTGACGCGTCGAATACTACCCGTAGTTTCGTGGTCAAGCTGTTCTCTCTTAACACTCCTAGGTGAGGTATATAGTATGATGGGGCATGCTCATTTTCGTATGACACTTCACTCATATGTCCCAATGCTTGGTATTCTCTCATGGATTCTGTATACATGGTTTTTAGTTTATCATTGTTATTTAGTTTTTTCTCCATCGCAAACAGGCGCTTCAACGCTAAACGTTTAGAATTCCCAAGAACTTTAGGATCCTCTTTGATGGGAAGCTTCACAACAAAATAATTATCAGGATTTGTGTACGTCGTCTCAGCAAATAAAATTTCGCAGACATGCGTCCCAATGTTTTCAGGAAGCTTGCATTCTTCTACCTCCCAGAATTGCCGTAGATCAAAGTGTACTTCCTTTACCTTTGAAAACGCAAGTACTTGAGGCGCATCAACGTCAAACATGTTCTTAGTATCATTATAATTTACCACAATCCATCCTAAAGTTGTTTCTTGAAGCAATATTTTTGACTCTGGAAACATCTTCCGTCCAGATTTTAAAATTTTCCAAGGCAAGTTTTCACCCAAAATTATATGGATTTTGTTATTCGAGAAGCAGGTAGGGTCCGCTAAGGGCTCATCTGAAATAGCGGACTTTATACATGGATTGACATCCACTTTGGGCAACGAAATTGGCAAACTGTTTATAACAAGAAAGTGCTTCTTTTGAAGACACTTATTTTGAACAGCGCAGAATTCTATTTTCGCTATTTTTGACACAAAGGCTGAACCAATGCCTGATACGGTGCATTGCACATTGTCAGTAGTATTTTGTAACTCGTTCACAAGCTGTTCTAAGACAAAATTTGACTGTGCCCCACAGTCCAGCAACGCTCGAGCACTGATTAATTTTCCAAACTTGTTCAATATTTCTAATTGTACCGTTGCTAGTCATATGTCGGAGGTACGAGCACCCGAGCTTGACTCCTTCCCAATGTGTCCAGACATTTCTTTGTCTTGATGAAGCGCGATATGATGATTTTTTCCACAAGTTTTACAAGGATAGCCTTTGCACTGCTCACCGTTGGAATGTTTTGGCCTCATGCATGAATGACAGAGATTTTCCGATTTGATAATTGTGTACCTATCAGGCAGGGTCAACTTCCGAAAATTAAGGCAAGAACTTATGTAATGGCTCCCGCAGCAGTAGATGCACTTTTTAATGTTCGATATTTTCTTTTGATGCTGCACAAATCCATGAATTGTTTGGTGAGGAGCCTTCCTCTTTACTTCAACTTTTTTGCGTTCGTTTTTTTATTCAAACCTAAAACCACTCGACTCAGAATCCTTATTCTTTGAGCTCTCGAGTGATTCTAGAACTCTCCATCTTTTGTCCAAGAATGCTAATATTTGCTCTTTCGTTGGAGTAGTTTTAGGTTTCATCTTGTTGCCCCATGCTGTAATTGTACTTTCATCAAATCTTGAAGTGACTGCATGGCATATTATTAGGTCCCAACTATCAGTATCCACTTCCATAGCTCGTAAAGTTTGTATGGTTTGATTTACACAGTTGTACATGGACTCCAAATCCTTTGCAGTCAATTTTGTTGACTTCTTGCATTTACAGACTGTGGTCATGCTCATATTCATAAGGATTTCCACTTGCCTTATTATGGTTAAATGCTTGTCTTCATAACGTTCTGTCAATGCTGTCAGCGCAATTTCATAGTTAGGCTCTGTGAAATCTAAATTCTTAATCAGTAGTGCAGGTTTGGCGCCCAATGCACATTTCAAATGATGGAATTTCAAAATTGTAGGTATTGCGGTGTTGTTATGAATGAGAGAGTCAAACATCTGCTTAAATGCTGTCCAATCACTGTACCGGCCTTCGAATTTGGGCAGATCTGGGACCTTAAATTTTGAAGCTTTAATCAAATCCACAGTTGTAACTGCATTCTGCTGCACTGCCATACTGCGCAAATCGGTGTCAGCATTTTCGGGTCTTGATCTCAGCATTGTCTTTGCTTTGCCAATGTTGGAATAGTACCTTTGTTCGATTTGCATCAATTCTTGCTGATCAAAAAGGTCTGGATTGATTCGCTTGATGTCGTGCGCTACTCGTGCAATTTGATCCATGAAGTGACTCAAGTTATTGCATCGAGCTTCAATTCCTTCGAAATTGGGGCTTGATGATGAAACGCTGGTTTCTGTTACCACAGACTCGAAGCATTGGAGCTGGAAAATCAGTTGTTCTTTAGTAGACAGCAGGGCTTCTAATCTAGTAGTCATCTCCATGCTCGTTGACAAATTAAGCGAAAAACTCTAGGAGTCCTTGATTGAAACAACCTAGAGCAAGAAAGAACAATATATAGCATGCAATGCAGCAAATAATTGGATCAGCAAAAGCCATATCAACAAAGGTTTTGACTGGCCAGTCTAGAGGATTCAACACTGTGAAATCCTCAAAGGATCCGAGGTATCAGCAAAAGCCATAACCTTTGAAACGATCCATCCGGTATCAGCAAAAGCCATAACCGTTCAAAATTCATGGTATTAGCAAAAGCCATAACCAAAATCCAAGGTGGTATTAGCAAAAGCCATAACCAACAACTGAGTCTCTGATATCAGCAAAAGCCATAACCAAAGATAGACTCATAACTTCACACAACAGTATAATTAGTTCTTTTCTAGATTTTGAGAAAAGAATCACGTCGGGGTCACCACTTTGTTGAGCTCAGAAAAAAGGTCAACAATATTATAGATAAATCAACACATTTTTATTAATAATACCTTTTTAAGGATAAAATATGACTGGAAGAATCATACAAGCAGGACTTCTTTTTTTTTCACATATACTAGGTTAAGATGAAGAGAAAAAGTGGTCGCCACGGAGACCATTTTGCATAGCATCTATTTCAACAGAGCCCAATAAGAACATTTACAGCCGAAACCCATCAAAGGTGTAACTTTTTCGTCCATTTTTCCCGTCTTTTTGCTGTAAAAATGCTGTCCAGAATGATGGCGATTTGGCAACTTTGCCCCCTCATTTCTCAAAAACCGTGCGTATACTCAAGCTAAAATTTTAACCAGAGTTTTAGGGTATCATAAGGTATCGTTTGGGCCCGGTTTCAGAAAAATCCCTTCTGGTCCAAATTGTGCCAAAAAACGGTCGTTTTTGGCGTCGCTCTTTCCAGTGGTGAAAGCGAACAGGGAGGGTTGTCCCAAGGGATATCGGGGTCATTCTAGAACTATGAGTTAAAGCAGTTTTTCCATGGACAGAATTAATAATGACTGGATTCTTATTTTTTTCTGTTGTGAACAACTTAGTGGCAATTGCAGGGTCAATAAAGGAGTTTGTCAATCCTGAGTCAATTAAAAATCATAATTTATAGGTCGGAAAAATTACATAAGGGAGTCGAGGTGCGGTCAATTCTAGGAGGGATTCAGTATTGTCGAGGCTGGTTATTGCCGAAAAACCTGATTTTCAACAGTATGAGTTTCTCCGTCTGTATATTCCTCGGCATACTCAGCTGCAGATTCAGAGAAATGCTGACAGTCCTCATTATAATGACTCATTTCATTTTCAATTGGGGGCTCATAATGTTCAGTGGCTTCCAAGTTAAATTTTTGAGCTGTAGTTAAATGGGAATTCCTGGAGATTCAAGACATTGGAATTGGAGTATTGGTGGGAAAATTATTTCCACCAGATGGTTTTGTTGCAAAATCACGATAATTTTGCTGGTGCGCTCGATTCTGTTGAGTTGAGATCAATTTACTGCTACTTTCATTTAACTGAGAACGAAAAATTGGATTGGATTTGGGTTGGCATTTGGCTTGAAGGGCTTGGAATAATTTGGTCTTAGTTTATTAGGATTTTGCATGTTTGTGTGGTTATTAGAAGCAGGAACAGACACTGTTGTGAAATTTTTGCTTGATGCTTCTTCTTGATATTCGTTCATGAGAATGTTGTAAATTTGAGAAAGGGATGAGGGTTTTTTAGCTTTCACTTACTGTTGTAAAGGGTTTTTCATACCGTCATCAAGGGCTTGTTTTGTAGCCAAATTAGACCAGGTTTCTTTTAAAAGAGGGGCATCTGTGGCTCTACCATGAGTATCTAGATAGGCATTTATCAAATACCGATACTGTTCCAATCTTTGAACAAAATCAAAGGCTGTCTCATTTACTTGAGAAATTTGATAAGTACATTTCCTTCGTCAATGTTCCCAGATCTCGCTTATCAGCATAAGTATCTAAAAGCGCTCGTTTAATTTGTTCCCAGGAAGAAAGATCATGATTTGCTAGCTTAATTTTTGCGTCTCCTATAATTTTTGCTTTGATATGACTTAAAATCAACCAGTTTTGGGGAGGGGTGTCAGAGGAGGTATCATAAAAATTAGAGACAATGCCGTTACAAACACTCAAAAAGTCCTTTAAAACTTTTGGTTCTCCGTCAAACTGAGGGATGGCATCCAAATACATTTTTTCAATTTTCGGAATAGTCATGGTTGGATTTGAGCCTAATGAAACAACTTTTGAAAACAGTTCGAGAAAAGATTGAGAATTTGGGTCAGTTTGGTGGGTCATAAACTATTCAGAGGAGGGGGGAAGCCAGAACACTTGGCAGCATGCAAGAGAGGGTATAAAAATCGCCGGGCACTGGCGAGCGTGCAAAATTAGGGGAAAATGATGGGATAGGGAGCCAGAAACAATTGAAGTCTTACATTGATATGATGAGCAGGACTCGCATGGCTGGATGAGATGACGTCACGACTCGATCAGGATTCTGAATTGGTTGAAGAACAATGGAGCAGGAGTGCTCGCGCACTTCCGACGCAAAGATTCAGTGGCGGGGAGACAATTTTTCTATGAAGATAAAGGTCTCTATATTCGCGATGAAATAGTGTCTTTGTTTCTTCGTTTTTCTTATATTTTTTTTTTTTTTGAGAGAAAAAAAAATTATTTACGTTGAACGTTGAATAATGGAGCAAAAAGCTCAGCACTTCCGACAGCGATTCGGTCGCGGAGAGAAAAATTTCTCTAGAAAAATTAAAGTTCCTATTTTCGCGATGAAATGGTTCTTTTTTTTTTTGAGAGAGAGAGAGAAAAAAAAATGGGTCCGTTCCCGCGATTAGGTGGGTCACACTAGGTAAACTTGACACTTCGCTATGAAGCAAGTTTCCTTCGCGGAGACTACCAACAGCGCCAATTAAATAAGAGAGAGAACTTGGAATAAATTAATACAATTTATTACACAAAAACGACAGTAAAAATCGGAAGTGAAAAGAGTGGTGACCTCCTTAGCGCTCGATGCGTAGGGTAAGTGAGTGGATTCGGTGCGGCGATCGGATGTCCGGGCCGCCGGGTGTTATCACGAGGTCTAAGTTCAAGAGATACCGATAACAGTATGACTCTTGTGTATGGTAAATATATCACTCGTGTCGTTCTTCCTTTCATCGGTTTTCAAC